TGAAATATAATTTACGTACATAGTTGCATTACTGATCATTGTGACATAATCATTCAATTCAATGACTAAAGCACTTTTGAGCTCTAGCATTTACTTCATCATAGCTAAATGATCAGTCTTCAATTTCGCAGGGTTAGTCATTAGAAACATGACAGAGAGAATCATGAATGCGTTTTCTTTCGAACTAGATGTTAATCGTAGTTGTCTTGAAAAAGACTGCCGAGTAAACTCAATATTCACTAGACTCAGTCGAGTATACAACAAAAACTGTGAATAAAGAGAAATATGGCACAATAGAATTGAAGTGCTCTTCTGGAGATTCTAACATATGACATGTTCTACAGAATCGAATCGAATGATCGATTGTTCAATTTGTTTCGGTCTCTGATGTACATTCGAAAATTCACTGCGTCGTCATGCATTGCTAAATATAACTGAAACCGAATGTGTATTTCAAATTAATGGATATAGTCCATGACAAGAGATGAAATCTTTTTTTTCCAATGATTACAATTCGTATTCTCTCTATCATGCTTTATCTACTTTTTCAAAGCCTCTTGGACTCTTCCCACTGCTTCTACATCAACATGAACTGCATATGTGAGAGTGTGTCAATAATGAAGAAATAACTTTAAGAAAGATTCGGCTTTCCCTTGAATCTGTAGATCACTCTTTGTTTTCTTACATGCTATCAGTGGACAGAGTTGTTGATTGAAACTGGGCACCGGATAACAAACAGGAAGATTATGACATCGAGGATGATGAATACATCTATGGTTAGGTTCATGACAAAGGTTGTTTGAGTTTTCACATGCAACTAGCTCAGAACAATCCACGAATTCATCGGTACAAATGCCAACGTCAATAGCACCTGCTATATGGAAACAGGCACACGCACTATTTGGTGAGCATCGATCATATTGAGCAATTCCTGGGCAGAATTGAGATTTCACTCGAACTAGCGACATACCAAATCAATAGGAGAACATGAAAAAAGAAAACAAGAATCAAACCTGTAAAGCTTAAAAGGAAAATTGTTCAACATTAGATGAATAGAAAAAAAAAGATTTTAGAATTACCTGAATAGAATGAATACGATACAATGAATTCCTTTTGAAACCATCGCTCGTTTTAGAATGAGACAGAATAGCAGCGGCACCCGTTTTTATATATAATGAAGAGACAATGTCTTTCACATTCGCCAAAAGTGAAGAAGCGCAATATGTGATCTTTCGATAAATAGAAATTTGATATTGCTCAACTGCTTTCTTAAGCACTTAATTTTTCTCCAAAAAAGTAATCTTTATAGAAGAAAAAAAACGTCGTAAAAGTAATATAGGACTGCTTCTGCGATATAAGCAATTTAATAGGCTCATGCCATCGTTCGAAATATGAATATTGTTATTGTCAATCATCGATTTACTATGTAATGACGACTTAGAACAATTTCAATGACAAATTTTGTTTTTAATATTTATATTTTTATTATAGGCAGCTTACAGAAGTTCGAATCTTGAGGATGTCGCCGTGGGTGTGGGCGTGGGGTGTCAGTGAGTGTGGGTGCGGATGTGAGATGCATGCAGGTGTGGGTGTGGGGTATGGGTGTATCGGTGTGAGTGTGAATGTGGGTGTGGAGCATGGGTGTGGGTGTCACTGTGCGTGTGTGTGGCTTAATACACCACTAACATTCACACCCACACGCACACCCACACCCACACCCACACCCACACCCACACCCACACCCACACCCACACCCATACCCATACCCACACCCACACCCACACCCACATCCACACCCACACCCACACCCACCCACACCCTGAAAATGATGATAATGTACCATTGATTGTCGAAGAAAATCTTAATCAACTTGTTAAAGTATTAGAAAAAAATTTTCTCTATAATTTTTTATGAATTATAAAACATAATCCTAATGTCGAACCAAAAACTTTACAAGGTTAGTTTTATTATTTGACTTAAATTTATAATGAAGTTTCTTTCTTTTTTAATTTCCACCAGGTGCTCTATGGCGATTTGCCGAATTTGCAAATGTAACACATCCCAAAACGATGAATGAATGGAATCAATCTGGTAAAGGAGCTTATGACAGAGTTTAGGTTAAGGTCTCAAATTTATCTGATAGACATGACAATTTTATTATTAAATTGTTGAAACAAAACACTATGTCAATTTTTTTAAGACCACCAAAAGATTAGACATACAAAAGTTTTAGAGTCCAGAGCTGGTATTTATATATCAGAGATTGTAATTATATAATCACATAATTACATAAAAAAAAAAGTTCGAGTTTTTAAATCAATTGTATCCTCTAATGAGACTTTCTTTAGTTTTTGAAGATTTCTAATTACAAATAACTTTGTAATTGAAATAGAATTTTCTAATGAGAAAAATGAAATTCTCATGTCTGTATGATTTATAATACATTAAAATCTATTGAACATCGACATGTCTTTTTTTTTCTTTAAGATATCTTCTATCATTATGTAAACATGGTGATCTGCATTTACGTGGTGCATTTTTAGATTTACTTGCTACATTAATTTAAACAACGATTCATCTTTGAACACTCATCACTATCAATTTAGTTTATTAATCAATGTTCACTTGCATCAACTAATATACAAGACAATTCAATTTTAGATTAGAATATTTCAAGTTCATGCATGTACAATCATAGGAATTAAACCATTTTGGAAGATTCTATTCAACATAGTACAAACTGATATATTCTTGCTAAAGTAGATAAAATAAGGGTGTGGGTGTGGGGTGTGGGTGCGGGTGTGGGGTGTGGGTGTGGGTGTGGGTGTGGGTGTCGGTATGGGGGGTGTGGGTTGTGGCGAAAGGGTGAATGTGGGTAGGTGGGGCATCATTTGTCCTTTTAATCACACCCCAACCACACCTACATCAACCCCCACACCCACACCCATACCCACACCCACCCACACC